CCCCTGTGTTTTCTCAGCATATTGTTCCCAGCCCCTCTTCCATGCCTCTCCTCCCAGTTCCTGCTTTGCTCGGGGCAGGAAGGCACTTTGGAAATTCCTTGCTGCTAGCCCCTTTCTTCTCACCCTCTCTTCTTCTCCCCGCTTTTGCTGTTGCAATTAAAAGCATCATTTTAATTGCATTTAACCTTTCTCCAACATTTCAATCCTGCCCCCACCCTCAGTGTTTTTCTTTCATCCATCCCAGCACTGCATCACCAGCCCTGTCCAAAGCAGTGCCATTTTTTGGGATCATGTTTAATGGGGAAGCCCCGGCACATGCAGCTGCCCGGTGCCGGTCATTAGGTGATATGTGCTCCTTGTGTGCTGGACCACGAAGCTAATGACACATCCTGGGGCTCTTCCAGGAGTTTGGGAGGTGCAGTGGGTTAGATTTACTTCATTTTCTTGGAAGAGACACATTAACCTTGTCAGCTGGCCAACAGGAGAGGAAATTTGGCAGAGCTCTTGCTGAGCTGGCCAGGTTACCACGGCGTTAAAGGGTTGTACTTCAGTGAGCAACCAGAAATGGCAACACACGGGCACAGCACCTGCACAGCCACCGTGGAGACACCACTGAGAGGCTTCCTCTCTTACAGAATTAGTTCCTGTAGCAGGAGAGAAGAAAGGATGAAAAAAAATCAGGAGCTTTTCAGTGTTGTCAGAGGTGTGGAGGATAAAACTTCACTTCAAAGCGCCTGTAAGGAGCCTGCTCTCATTTCTGGTGGTGGGAAATCAATGCTGTGCCATGGTAAATACCTGCTGTCCACTGTCTTTCCAATTCAACCTTCAGAATTCGTTCCAGCTTTTTAACAAGTGGTGAGTAACTCTGGATAACGACATGACATTTTAGTCATCCTTTTAGTCATGCTTTGGGAAGAGCAAGGCTGCTCTTGCTCTGGAGCTGTGGAATTCTGATGGCAAGTTCCCAGGCTCTCCAGCCATATGCTGTTGCCCACTCAGGCAGTTCTGGGTCACTGCATGAGCACCACTTCTTTTCCCACCCTGCACATCCTCTTCTTGTTTGCCTGCTGATGTGACTCCACCAAATATCTGTGAGGGACAAGTGGAGGTGAAGGCAGAGGTGAATGGGAGCGAGGAGGAGTCAGGATGGAGAGTGGGTACCAACAGGAGGAGGCTTCTGATGGCATTGGTAGGGTGGAAAACCCAGTGCAGCACATGATGGGGCTGAGCTGTGTGGGATGTGGGCTCCTCAAGGAGCATCTCCAGTGCAAGCCCACGGCTGGGGAACACAGGGCAGCTCCTGGAGCGAGGCTGTGCTGGAAGCAAATCTGCTTTTCCTCTCCTCTGATTCTCCCTGCTTACCCTTCCCCCTTCCAGTGCCCAGTATTTATGTTTCCACATAATAATGATGTGATGTGGCTGGCAGAGTAATTTAAATAATTGGACATTATCTTGAGAAGCAAGCACCTAATTAGATCAAAATAAACCAAGAACTGAAATTTTCATCTGTTTCTAATAACCTTTTACCTGTGTACAGTGCTGCTGCTGCAGCAGGGATTTTGTTATTCACACTACTGTGTGTTCTCGGGGTTCACGAGTGATGAAGGCTGCTGCAGGAGCAGAGAGCTTGGTGGCACTTTCTGGACAAGATTGGTGACTCATTCCTGCTTCTGTGGGGTGTTTTGCAGTGATTCTCTGCTGTATGTGCCCCTTGTGTGAGGGGCAAACACAGTAAGGTTTGCACCAGCAGATACAGATCAGGGTTTGAACACAGATATTTAGAGAGAAAAGGCTCAAAGAACTTCTGACCTTAGGGCTCTGTTGTTCATTTCTCTAAGTTTATCTAGGAACTTATAATCTGTTCATTTTGCTGCATATGAGGAAGAGGTAGCTCAGACCTTCTCCAGTGTTTGGTGTCATTGGGACCATCAGAGCACATGAAGATGTTCCTTCTACAGCACAGCAGCTTTGATTTGTTCCTGAGACAAGGACTCCACTGCTGAAAGTTCACTGAAAGAGTCTTGGTTTGGCTTTGACAACTACAGCTGGAAGTGTCTGCTATGGAGAGGGTCATTTAGAATTGGCAGGCTTGCAATTAAGGGAGGAAAAGAGGGCAATATTTACTAGCCTTTATTTTAGGGACTGGTTCAGTGTCTTTCTCCTGATGAGTTGCTCTCCCTCACACTTCCTCATGCTCTTCTTCAGTTGATTTATTTAAAGGTATGTCAGTGCTGGCTGAAATGAAACACTGTGCCTCCTCTTCCTGCTTATTGCTGACCGCTCCAATAATTCATTTTTTAGCTCATTAACTAACAGGGGATGTGAGCAGTGGTCCTCCGGGGAGCTGCAATGAGGTTAAGTGATCTACTGCTGACAACTCTGCTCTTGGACTGGCCTTCCTTGGGGGAAATGAAACCTCAACCAAGACAAGCTGTGGATCCCAGAAGTGAAATTGGGGCATCAGAGCAACAATTGCAGTATTTATGTCTTGTTGTCAGGGTTTCTGAGATGAATGCCAGCGGCGGAGCTGCAGCTGTCTCCCAGGAAAGTCCCCAGGACTTCCCATCCAAATGAAAGGGTTTGTGCCAGAGATGGAGGCAGGATGTTTGTGGACATGCTCATTGGAAAGCAGTCCCTTGTGTGTTGTGGCTGTCCATGAGGTGTAGTCCAGTGTGCTTTTCCTCCCACCTCTGATGAGGTTTTGTTTTCATCCCTAACATCCAAATCTTCCTTGTGCCCAGTTTGTACTGTTGAAAAAGACTTGAATCTCACTCCATACTGATGTCAGTGACATGCTGCTCCAAACGTCTGAGGACTCTGAAACACCTTTATTTTGATTTATAGCTCCACCACGACCCTTGATGTGACTCCAGAGGTGGGACTGGACCTTACTGAGTGAATTCATTTGTGCCCAGGCAGGTGGCAGCACATTCCCTTTCCTGTGACATTGGCTTCTAAAGAGTTTCCTCTTCTTTCCCCAGCCTTTTGAGGCAGTAGGACAAAGCTGAGCGGGGCTGAGGCATCCCTATCTCGCTTTCTTGCATCCTTCCAGGAGCATCAGGGTTGTGAAAATGTGCAGAGCAAATGTGAAATTGGTGCTGATAGGTTTGTGAACCTGCCAGCCTCAAGCTTGGAGAGCCTCTGCCTGAACTGAGCAGTTATTCTCTCCTTTTGGCCTCACTGTTACAGTTTAGGCTGAATGGTGATTGGAAGTAGGCAATTTGTGTCAAACAGCTTTTTTTCTCAATAGAAAGTAAATTTTTCTTGAACAACCAGTGCTCTGATAGGAGTCAAAAGTTTCTCTCACTCCAAAGATGGTCTGGGGGAGAGAGAGATTAATTTACAGACTCTTGATTAAGCTAAAAAATACTACTTACATATCTGAGGAGTATTTTGCCTTTAGGATGTATGGACATACGAAAAATAAATTCCCAGAGCCCTGGTGTGTGTTACTGGGGGTGAACAGCACAGGTTGAATCACCTCATTTTCCAGTCTGGCACGTTTTAAACATGGATGTGTTGGTTATACTCTCAATAACCCTGTGTGAGTTTAAAAATAATCTGAGATCTTTGCTAACATCCTTGAAGATAATCTAGCTGGATACTGGGAGTAGAGCCTTTCCAAGAATGCCCATTTTATTGTAGATAATTGTGTGTTACTTTATCCCTTTCGTGGCACTGGTTCTAGTTTGGCTTTTTACCTTAAAAAAATGTAATTAGAAAAACCATAAATTAAAGATTCTGATAACAGAACTTCTTTTCTTCCTCCTCTCCATCTGGAATACCTGCAGCCATACTGCATTTATCAGATCCTGCCATCAAAGGTTAATTTGCAACTGCCCAAATGGGTTGTGGAGGGGTTTTTTTTGGTGTGTCTTTTAGTTTGCAGGAGCCATTCAGAGGCTTGAGGTAAAAGAAGCACTCTCTGTGCTAATTTTCTGTTTGCACTTTTGCTCTGAAGAAAAGGCCTGGCTCTGTTTGTGGGGCAAACTGTGGCCAGGGCAGGGAAGCTGTGCCTGCTTTGGGAAGCTGGGCCTGAAAGCATCCAGGCAGGTCACAGCAAGGTCACTCCACATGTCCCAGGAAATGATGCAAAACTAATCCAGATTTGCTGGTGGAAGGAGATGTTTACATAAGTATTTAAAAACAGATTAGGGCTAACCTGACACTAGATTACTGGGAGCAGTGTAAACACGGCTGAAAGGCGTAAACAGAGCTTGGCCTTTTGTACTCCAGAGGAGAGAATCTGTCACCAGGACCCAGTTGCCTGGCTCAGGTGATGTTTGTGGTTTTCACAGGCTGAGCAGATTACCTGAGGGACCTCTAAATGGGACTTTTTTTGTCTGGGGCTGCTGCTCTCAGATCATGTAATTGTATGGTAATTTTTAAAACGGGACGAGTGAAGGGCCTTGTTTGTAGTCCTTGTTCTGCTGTAACCTGATAGCACCAGAAAGCTTCTGATGGTTCTTTGATAAATCAGGAGGAAAAGGTACTTCAAAGCACTGGTTTGAATTTTGGCAAAACAAGAGGAAATCATCCTTATGCCTTTGGGAGCATTACTCAGTTTGGAGGGGGACAAAGCCCCCATTTGGTTACTTCTGGTGTGGGATACAGAAACAGGGTGCATTTTTTTGCAGTGTGTTTTCCAGCCTTGAAGTGGAACCTAGCTCCTTGTTGTGTCTTTGTGACCAAAGTGAGGGCTCTTGCCCTGACCTCTTGCTGGCCCAGAGCTTTTTAAGACCTCCTGGCTGTTGTGATCCTCCAGCCCCATGGGCACAGCATCCATCAAGGAGGATCCTGAGCACTGGAACAGCAGGATGGACAACACAAATATTGCTAAAAATACAAGGTTTGGGTGAAGTTCTCCTAAGGTTTGGCTGAACTGTTCCTGTGAGGGCTTTCTTGACATAAATTTGAAAGGGGAAACAACCTCCTTGTTGGTTGAGCACTGTTGGCTGCGACACCAGCTGAGAGTGACCTGTCCCCTCTGGCTTCCCTAGGGAAGAAAAAGAGCTCTGGATACGCGCCAAGTACGAGCAGAAGCTCTTCCTCGCCCCTCTGCAGTGCCTGGAGCTCTCTCTGGGCCAGCACCTCCTGAGGGCCACGGCTGAGGAGGACTTGAGGACGGTGATCCTGCTGCTGGCCCACGGCACGCGGGACGAGGTCAACGAGACCTGCGGCGACGGCGACGGGCGCACGGCCCTGCACCTGGCCTGCCGCAAGGGCAACGTGGTGCTGCTGCAGCTCCTCATCTGGGTAAGGGCTCCTGCAGGGCTGGGTCCCTCGGGAGGGTGGGCCAGGGCTGCTCCCCAAGGGCTTCAGGGCACCATGGCCTCAGGGTGGTGCTGCTGGAGCTCCTCATCTGGGCAAGGACTTGCTGCCCTCCCTCAGCAGGATGGACCAGAGCTGCTCCTGGAGGGCTTCATGGCCTCCTCATGTAGGTAAGGACTCACTGCCCTCCCTTAGCAGGATGGGTCAGAGGTGCTCTTGGAGGGGTTCAGGGCACCATGGCCTCAGGGTGGTGCTGCTGCAGCTCCTCTCCTGGGCAAGGACTCCTGCCATGGGCTGTGTCCCTCAGGAGGACGGGCTAGAGCTGGTCCTGGAGGGCTTCACAGCACCTTGGCCTCAGGGTGGTGCTGCTGGAGCTCCTCATCTGGGTAAGGACTCGCTGTCCTCCCTCAGCAGGATGGACCAGAGCTGCTCCTGGAGGGCTTCATGGCCTCCTCATGTAGGTAAGGACTCACTGCCCTCCCTTAGCAGGATGGGTCAGAGGTGCTCTTGGAGGGGTTCAGGGCACCATGGCCTCAGGGTGGTGCTGCTGCAGGTCCTCATGTGGGTGTGAAAAACGCCAATCACTTGGGTTTTTTTTTAATTTTAAAAGTTTAATAGTAATAAAATGGTTATACAAATAGTCATACAATTAGAGTAATAATAATTTGGACAATTTGAATTAGGACAATATGACACAATAGAGCCAAAGAGTTACAGATGTCTGGGTACCTTTTTCTGGGCAGCACGAGCTTGAAAAAGGACCCACGTTAACAAAGGATTAACCCTTAAAAGCAACAGCCTGTTGCATATTCATACACTTCATAGATGATGCATAAATTCCATTCAAATACAGGATTCTGTCTGGTCAGTGTCAACTTCTTCCTCTGAATCCTAACAGCACCTTCGAGGCAGGAAGAAGTTTGTTTCTTATGATAAGAGGGCAATAAATTCTTTTTCTCTGAAAGATTTAGGTGTCCTGTGGCTGCTATCTCAGTGCAAGTCCTTTCTTTAAAAAAAGTATCCTACATAGCATAGTTTCTATTTTGACATTTTTTTATAACCTAAAACTAGATTTAACACACTACTTAAGAGAATTAATACAGCATTGCTTTCTAACACAACACATATAATATTCATTTTAATATTTGCCAAAAGCCAATCATAAAATACATGCATTTTTCACATGGGTAAGGACTCGCTGCCCTCCCTCAGCAGGATGGGCCAGAGCTGTTCCTGGAGGATTCAGGGCACCATGGCCTCGGGGTGGCTGTTCCTCATTACACACATTCAGAGGGTGGTGGGAAAGCACGTTTCTGCTCTCTGCTGCTTGTTGGAAAGGAAGGAAAAGCATGGGAAATGAGGAAGGAGAGATTCCCTTAGCTTGGAGTCTGCTAGGGCAGATTTTGTCCCACACGATTTTGTCCCTCCCTCAGAAACATTTTTTCCGTACGTGGCTCAGCACCGCCATTCTCGTGTTGCCGGGCTGCTCCCTCGCCCTCCCTTACCTCCAATCCCAAACCCCCTCTGGAAATTGTCACAGCACAGCTCCCAACAGCTCAGGTGAGGTTTGTGGTTTGTGATTCCCCCCTCTTGTCGCCCCGCAGTACGGCGTGGACGTGATGGCGCGCGACGCCCACGGGAACACGGCGCTGGCCTACGCCCGGCAGGCCTCCAGCCAGGAGTGCATCGACGTGCTGCTGCAGTACGGCTGCCCCGACGAGCGCTTCGCCCTCATGGCCACCCCAAACCTGTCCAGGAAGAACAACAACCGCAACAACAGCGGCGGGAGGATGCCCACCATCATCTGAGGGGAGCGCCTTGGCTGAGCCCGGCGGCAGCCGCAGCCTCACATTCCTCCATCGCCATCGCAGCTCCGCTCTGTGAGTCCGCTGCCTCTCCTCCTCCTCCTCCCTTTTCCCTGCGGTCCATCCCGAGTGCCAGCGGAGCGCGGGGGGCCCGGGAGGAGCGCGGGGGCTGCGGGCGGGCCCTTGGTTTGGGGGCCATGCCAGGCGGGCCGCACGTGGCACCGGCACCGCGGGGCAGAGGCGAGCCGGAGCAGAAGGAAGGAAGGAAAGAAAGAAGGAAAGAAGGAAGGAGAGACGGTGACTTTCCCTAAGTGACAGTGAAGCACATCAGAACATTTCACCTCTGCGGCGCCTGGATTTCCATTCTCTTCTCCCGAAGAGCTTGACGGCATAAATCAGAAGCAAGCACAGAGTTTGTCAGGTTTGAAGCTCCTATGATGGTATGTGTCAAATCAGTTGTAGCTAATCTGTCCGGGGAGAATACTGGCTTCATTACACTTGTATAGTTGAGTTCTTCCAGCATTACTGCTGTTTAATAGAACATGATTAGTCATCACGGAGAAAAAAGCATATTAGCTGAGGAGGTAGTTACATGGCACGCTTCGGTGATTGCTTGGATGTGATTGCAATATTCTTAGAAGCATCATATTATCTCAGACATGTTCTTTCGAGCCCTTGGAGCCCTCCTTTCTAAATTCACTGTCATAATTTAGTATCTGTTTAATTTTTCAGTCCAAAGAGAGGAAATGAGTTGCTGAGTGTTATTTGACTGCAGTCTCCTTGGTGTAAAAACAAAATGGAAAAAATAAATAAGAGTAAGCCTGAAACACAAAAAGGAATAATGAATACCGCTGTGGAAAACAACATTTCAAGTACGTTTGGTGAAATTAATAAATGCATTAAAGGCTAATTTTTTTTTTTTTTGGTTATATTTTCAGCCAGCAGAAATAGGTTCTGTCATTTTGCCAAGGTAAATCGTGTTGAGTTTTTTGGTCACTCCTGTGATGCATTGCCTAACTTATACAGATTTTTGTATTGTGTCTCTAGATTCTATGTATTTAAAATCTATTTGAATAAAAAAAAGGACCGTAAATATACATTGATTTTTTTTTTGTACAGAAAATGACATCTCTGTTAATTTATAAACTGTAATGGATGTGAACTAAATAATGTGCAACTAGTTAGGATCTGTGGGTTACAGATCATTATTGTACATTGATAATATTCCCAGCAGTGAACTCTTCTGTCCAAAGCCTGTGAGGAACAACATATCAAAAGGAGATCAGGGAAGGGAAAAAAAAAATCATGTGAGACCTTTTAGGAAGGAGAAAAGAGGCTGTTCCTCAGCGCTGTAAATATATTTTACTCCAGAAGTCAGGAAGCTTTCACAAGCCAAGACAAAAAGGCCCATTCTGGCTGGGGGAAGATCAGATTTGATTAAGTTCAGAATTGATAGCCTTCAGCAGGGCAGGCAGGGCTCCCTCCCAGCCCGCTGCTTTCGATGAGAAAAATGGCTTGTGCAAGTGCCCTGGACAGTTCCTTTCAATTCCAAGTTTGAATACCTGATTGGGTCATTTTGGTCTTGCATCCCAGCTTCTCCTGCTTCTCACTAGCAGGATTCTGGCGTGGGGAAGCAGAGGTTTTGGCAGGCAGAAAAGTGATATTTTTTTTGTTTGTTTGTTTTTCTTTTTTCTTTAGAAGTGGCTTATGGCAATGTGGAGATGGGGGCATGGTTTATCGTGGAGAAAGTTGAAAACTTAAGTGAATTGGATGGCAAATGAGCAATTATGTGAAGGCAGGGAGGTGCACACAGCAGAGTAATTTGCAGATCTACCTGCTCCTGTGTATTTTCCAGACCTTCAGAGATGCTCTTCCTCAGGGCTCTGGGTTTCACTCAGCACACAAATGGGAGGAGCAGTTGCTAAATAAACTGAATGTGGACAAAATGCAAAGGAAGAAATGCCATGTGGCTATCTTAAAGAAAACCAAAAAAAATCAAAAATTATGGATTTGAGGCAAAATTGTGGCTGAAAAATGAGCCTTGAGGTAGAAGCACAGGGATATTGACCAGCTTCTCCTCTTTGGTGGTGTTCTCCTTCTGTACTTTGTTGTTTTCTAGACCTTTGAGTATCTGAGGGAGGGAATCTTTCTCCAGCCAGCCTAGGCTGACTGCACCAGACACAGCTGATTCCCTTCCCACTGGGATACTTCTAAATATTTGAATTTATTTTATTTTTTTTTAAATTCAGAAAAGGTGTCTGTCTGAACTGCCATTTCTCCACCATTCCTGACATTTGGTACTTAGAGGTGGTCCCTCAGGGAGGGGACAGCCCAGCTGATGTGCAGCTGAAGGGGATGCTGTGAAACCCCCTCTGTGTGCTGGTGCTCAGGAGCTTTGCCACAGCAGGGATTCAGGAATGGCAATCCCAGAGGTGCTAGAGCTCCCCCCAGGAGCATCCAGGGCATTTGTATCCCAAAAACCAAGTCCAGTGTTTCAAACCCAGGGTTCAAAGTGCACATTCCTTTTCAGAGCTGGGTTTTATTTTTCTTTAATTGAGATTATTTTCTGTACATTGTTTAATGCTCTCTTTGGGCCACCTCCCTCTGACAAGGCTGAGGGTGATGTTTGAGAAACAAGGGCAACCAGGCAGATTGCAGATGGACAAATTTCGTGGTCCTTTCCTAAAAACCTTCTGAGGCCAACCCTTGAAAAAGCACAGAATATTTTTAGGAGAGGAAATTCCAGTCTGTTACAGGAAAAATTATGCATCCAGGCAAGCCAAGTGCTGCTTTAATTAAGTGGTAGCATGGTTGCTTTTAACCTAAATGTGATTTTCCCCTAAGTGTTGGCATAACTGTGTTGAAGCAGTGTGGACTGGGGGTCTGTGGGGAGGATTCCCAGCCCTGCAGGTGGCAGAGCTCCCTTGGAAGGTCAGGAGATCCCAGAATATCCTGAGCTGGAAGGGACCTGCTGGGTGAGGTCACCCAGGGCCCTTGTCACCAAGTCACTCCTTGCAGGGTGGAGGACAGGGGGGAAAGGCAGAGGGTGCAGGAGGCTCTATTGGCTGGATCATGCTGGGGCTTGGCTTGGAGAGCTCCACAGGGCTGTCAGGGGATGTGTTTGCACTTTGCAGAGGCTGCCCCTGGAGCCATCCAGGTGCAGAACCAGGCAAGATCTCCTGGCACTTGGAGATCCCACAGGAATCATGGTTCCTGATGCTTTCACTCCATTCTCCCACCCCTTTCCTGCTCCTTGGCTCGTGTTTAGCCACTCTTGTTGCTTTTTTGGAATCCTCACACCCTTGGAGCATGTTGGGAGCAAAACAAGCCCTAGCTGTGACCCAGTCCATGAGAAATTCCAGCAGAAACCCAGCAGCCAGAGCTGTTTTCTCTGGAGGCTGTGGCAGTGGTTGGCATTGCACCAAACCCTTCCCCTTCATCCCAGATACCTTGAAATCCCCCTTCCTCTGCACTTTATCCATGACTAAAACACTAGGAGCAGGTCAGCCACTGGTATTTCCCCATTTCCTCCTCCCTTTGGCTAATTGCTGTGGAATTCAGTCGGGTGTGTCACAGCTGAACCTGGAAATTGCCAGGACAGTTCCCTTCTCCTTGCTCTTCATAAAGGAAAAAGACCCAACCTTGGGAAAATTCAGGGTCCTGCCCTGAATGCAGAGATTTGGCCAAGGGCTCCCATTACCAGATTTCCAGTTTTGGTTGGTTAAAAAAGGAGCAGGGAAAAGAAAGAAAGCTTGGAGAACCTTGGTGCTGTTGGGAAAGCCAGGTGGAGAGGATTTTGAAGCATTTGGGTGCAGTGTAAAATAACTGTGTAAACATTGTTTCATTCACTGTCTTGTCCCCCTTCCCTTAAATTAATGTGTGTTAGTGCAAGAAAAAGAAAAAGCTTTAGCTGCACTTGGAGATTTCCCTGGGCCAGAGAAGGCCGAGTCACGTGGGGAGAGGAGTCGAGGTGGGAGCGCAGGTCCGGGTCTGGAAGTGATCTCCGGCACTGTAATGTAGAAAAATTAGATTCTATGGGGTTGGAATAGCTTCAGCTTTTATATTTGTATGGAGATGGGGAGAAATGAAGTAATTTGTAGTTTCTAGTACAGAGTAGTGGTAGTGGAGACAAGCACAGATTTCACAAGGGGGTCCCCAAGGGGCCCTTCCCAAACGTCTCGGGGAGCCGCCTTTGCACCTTAACAGGGATGGTTTTTGGGGTTTGTTGTTGGTGAAATGGTCATTTCATGTTTGGTTACGTGGTTATTGTCAGAGGGGGGGCTCGAGGGGAGCGTTGGGGACCAAACTTTGGGGCAGCTTGGCTGGAGAGGAGATAACTTCCCCATCCTCATCTCAGCACCAGGCATTTTCCTTCCCCCTCCAGGGGCTGCTGCAGCAATCCTATCCTTAGGTGGGATCTCTGCCTGTGGGCCTGGACCCTCAGTTCCACACCTTCCATCCTGGATGGTTTGTGGGTAAAATTGACTGCATAGAAAAGTCAGGTTTGGATGTTCTTGTGTTTGCTGCACAAGAGGGGAAAAAGCCCAAAACTGCTCCGGAGTAAAGTTCTTTTCAAGGGAAAAAAGAAACACTGAACTACCCCAAGTTAAGAGGTTCTGCAGTGAGTTTTGAGTTCTAAGCTACCAAAAAAAAAGGAAGGTTGGCTTGAATGGTTTTATTGGAAAATAATAATAGAGGTCGTAGAGCAAAACATCCAGAGCTGTAGATGGGTGGATTTGTTGGTTTAGGATATTTGTAGGTTTTGCTTTGTTGTTTAGCATGGGCCAGTTTTTACAGTAAATATTGGGACAGTTTACCTTGACTGAGTCTGGCCCACACTTTAAAGGGAGGTTTGAGGGCTTTTGGCCAGGATTGTCAGGAGCTGTGAATAGTTCACGTTTAGAGAGGGGAATTGCATGATTTCTGAGAAGTAAAAGGTCAGTTTGGGGTTTTTTTAGGGCCATCTTCAGCCTCAAATTGCCAAGCATGTTTCTGGCCCCATGTTTCATTTCAGGGTGACAGCAAGATGTGGGTGAATGAACTCCCATCGTTTCCTACCATGTTCAGGGGGGAGAATTTTGCTTGTGGGTGGATAAAATAAATATGTCTTTGTGCATTTCAGCAGTTT